GGACAAACAACATCATAACGCCCTTGAATTATGGTCGCTGGAATGTGACGAATTTTCTCCACATCGTCTAAAATTTGAGTATCGGTCTTGAACCATCCTCCTCCATGTACAAAGTAATGACTATAAAAAACGGTAAAAACAAATATAATAAGGTTGTGTTTAATAAAATCCTTCATCTAATTAACGGCCTAAAACTTCACATATATACATAACATCTAATTTAATTTATGACCTGTACATTGTTTAGATTTTCGTTTTAGGTCAATCTCACACACGTTTTACTTGATGCAAAAATACGGCATCCGTAACATAATATATCTAGTAAACACCAACAGAATCCATATTTTGTAAAACATCTAAGAATGTCAACATATATTATGATCAACAAATATTACCAAACGATTCTTATTGAGACATTTTATAGTATATATCTAAATCAATATAGATATAATGAAACATCATGCTTTATTAGCATCAGGAGCCAACTGTCATAAAATAAGAAAACGATCACCACTTTAAAGAAGCTGAAATGAAAATTTAGAGATTGATGGTCAAGCCCTGTTACCTTTCAATCCTGGCGAACTGTTGTGACCATATGTCTCCCTCAGCTCTCTTTAATAGGTCATCATCCACTAACAAGCGGGATGTGGCCATTTCCCATTTACTCCAAGCCTTGGCTGCTTTGATGCGCTTTTCTTCATCATCACTGGTCAGATGTCTATAGTAAGCACCCATTAGATCTCCTCTTCGCCCTGGTCAGATAGAAAACATGAATCCCGTGAAAAGCTGGTTTATGAGGATATTTTTCTTTATCTGAGGAGCTGGTACAATAGGACTTTTTTCTGTTTCTGATAGGACCTTTCTCTTTCTCTAAACAGCTGGTACATAAGAATTTATTTTCTGTCTCAAGAGCTGGTTCATGAGGACTTTATCTCTCAAGAGGTGGCACATAAGGATTTTTTTTCGATCACTAAAGAGCTGGTGTATGATGACTTTTTCTATATCTCAAGAGCTGGTTCATAGGTATTTTTTTCGGTTTTATAAAGCAGTCACTGGGACTTTTTCTATGAGATGGTTCATGACAATGTAATCTATTCTAATAAATTGGTTTATGACAATGAAATCTGATCATATGAGCTGGTTCATGACAACATATTATTTCCCTAATGAGCTGGGTCATGACAACATAATATATTCTATTGAGCTGGTTCATTACAATGTAATATATTCTAATAAAGTGATTCATGACAACATAACCTATTCTAATGAAATGGTTCATGACAACATGATCTATCCTAAAGAGAAGGTTCATGACAATAAAATCTATTCAAATGGGCTGGTTCATGACAACATAATCTTTCCCTAATGAGCTGTTTCATGACAACGTTATATATCCTAAAGAGCTGGTTCATGACAATGTAATCTTTTCTACTGAGCAGGTTCATGGCAACATAATCTATTCTAATTAACTGGTTCATGACAAGGTTATCTAGTCTACTGAGTTGGTTCATGACAACATGATATATCCTAAAGAGCTGGTTCATGACATTATAATATATTCTGCTGAGCTGGTTCATGACAATGAAATCTATTCTTATGTGCTGGTTTGAGATAACATGATCTATTCTACTGAGTTGGTTCATGACAACATAATATATTCTATAGAGCAGGTTCGTGGCAACATAATATATCTTAATGAGCTGGTTCATGACGAAATAATCTATTCTACTCAGCTGGTTCATGACAACATAATCTATTCTAATGAACTGGTTCATGACAACGTAATCTATTCTACTGAGCTGGTTCATATGGACTATATTGCCAATAGCTGTTTTCATTTGTCCCTAAAGACCTGATTCATGAAAAGTTTATCTATCTGTAAGGGGCTGGTTCAAGAGTACTTCATCTATCCCAGAAGTCCTTCTCTATTAGGATTGAAAAGGCTGAAAAGAACTTTATCACCTGAACACCTTATTTATGGACCTAAGTGGATTTTTTTCTAACCCAGCTTGATTTGCTTATCAACAAACATGTCCTTGACCTTGTAATTGTGCAGACCCATTGTATCAAAGCCGGATATAGCCAGAGTAACCTAATTCTGGTACATGACAAACCATCTCACCATGGTGAACCAACACCCCTTGTATGAAGTTTCAGTGACAAAAAGTATAGAAGACAGACTGCCAAAACAAGATAGCGGACTGAAAGATGTACACAACATAAATGATATTACCCCCACACCCAGGTTCCCAGTTGGGGGGACTAAAAATGAGTAAAAGAATGTGACTTTGACCTTGATATTGAAACCTTCACCTCAGACCACACACATCTTTGTTTGAATTCAATCATCATCAATTGATGTCATAGAAAAGTGTTAAACCATTCAAAACATTATTAGTAAATACATGTACATAAACAATGATACCGTTAATTTGACTATATCCTTTGAACCTTTAACCTTGACATTAGGTCAGTAATCTTCACCAGTGATTGATAAACAGTGTGCTTTTATAACACACACCACTTAAAAGAGCCTGTCTGATTAGTCATATCTGAAACATTCAGGACACACATATAATGATACTTATTACAGCTCGATAGACAGAAATTATCTACAGTTTAAGCAAATGTTTACCTCTGGTATAGGAGCCAGGTAACTTTCCCAATGATCAGGAAATAAATGGTTTGCCCCATCCTGGTAAAACCATAACAATTCCCGCCTGAAACACGAAACATGTTACGTTTGTGATAAAAAAAAGAAATGCATCATATCATACCACATCAATGTGAAATAACGTTAAGTTATCATAAATAGATTGCAAGGAATTGATAGAATTGTTTTTTTCATATTCCTGATATGTGAAATATTGTACAATGTGTGAAATATAACTATAAATACATATTTTATAAACTGAAGACAGACATAAAGCTCAACCTTTTCATCCCAAATGATCATTCCTTAGTATAAGATTTAACTGATGTCCCATATATTTTAGTAGCAGAAGCCAGCATTGCACTATCTTAGATCTATCAGTTTTTGGGTTTTTTTTTCTTTTTCATCTATTTAACTCCAACATATGGAGTAAGTCTAGCATGAAATGTTGATGAGATCCAGTCCCTGTAGAGATACATCAACCATGTAAGTTTGGTTGACATGCTGCAGAGAGGTTTCACAGAAGTACTCTTCAACTTGTTGAAACAAACTGAAAACTACTTTAATATTTAAGGAATATCCATACCGGTAAATAATCTATATTGTTACACTCAGTACCATATCTATATATTGTACATGTTTTACAATTTCTCTGTAATTTAAACCTCAATTATCAAACCATGAAATGCATCTTCTCATTATCATATAAAACTTTTGTTGATGTTATTTCTATTGAAACTTCTACTTTCTGCAGCGAATATAAATATGATCTAAAATCCATATCTCAAGCAATAAATGAATAGTTACCTGCGTAGATTGAAAATTCCTCGGAGGACAAGTGCCTTCACACGATCTGGGTGTGTTTCAGCATATGTTAAAGACAGCGTGGATCCCCAGCTACCTCCAAACACTACCCATTTATTAATTCCCAGGTGTTTTCTCAAATGCTCTATATCCTCGACAAGGTCCCAGGTTGTGTTTTCCTGTCAACATACAGAAGATGTTAATCTATATTTCCAGTTTACACATACATGTATATGGGGAATTTTTCAGATCACTTGGTGACAAATGTGAAATATGATTACGAACTTAACGTGAGAATAGACCAACATTGGAGTACCCTTTATGATTTTACCCACTACACATTATCTTGCTTTTCTTTTGCAATCCTGAAACATTTCAAAATGGGAATAAGATGTTTCTTAGTTTCAAAGTATTCCACATTAACATACAAATGTATAAATCACCAGAACACATTTAGTAGTCAAGGATAATTGTTAGATCTAATTGAAGTTCAATTTTCTTTTTAATATGATATACCAGTTTATTTTTGCCCTGGAACCAACTATCAAGAATTTGCCTCATATTCTTTACACCCTATGAGGATTATTCAAAATGGTTTTATACAAGTAACACTTCTTTTTTAAATTCACCCTTCTTGTTCGTGGATGAAAAGGGCAAAAATATTTAACAAGGCAAAAATATTTAACAGGGCAAAAATTACTCAGTGATCTGCAATGAACATGGTTACCAGGGAGGTCAACACCACAGCAAGGTCACAATTTAAGGTCAACACCACAGCAAGGTCACAATTTAAGGTCAACACCAAAGCAAGGTCACAATTTGAGGTCAAAACCACAGCAAGGTCACAATTTGAGGTCAACACCACAGTTAGGTCATAATAAGAGGTCAGCACCACAGCTAAGTCACAATTTGAGGTCAACATCACAGCAAGATCACATGTTGAGGTCAACACCACAGCTATGTCACATATTAAGGTCAACCCTACAGCTTTATGGTGACGATAGAAATCAACATCATTCAAGTTATAGAAAGAGGATAACAATATAGCTAGATGACATAATGAGGTCAGAACACTTCAGACATGTCATACGATGTAGATTCAACACCACAATTAACTCACAATTAGAGGTAAACACCACAGCCAGGTCATAGAGAGGTGTCAACACAGCTACATGTAGGTCATAGATATGGGTCAACACCACAGCTAGGACATCAACACATACAGTGATTAAGAGTTGGTGGGCCACATTTATGAAGCTATGATGACAGTTTGAAGCTAAATAGAAAACTAGGTTTTCAGATGATTTGACCTGATGTACTAAAAACTAATCTATGAAGACTTCTTAATGTACATATATGTTAAAGTAAAACCAAATAAAAGGCATGATTGATTTTCAATTGTATGTTTGTTTTAATAAGCACGCCTAAGTCCAATTAAAACCTGAAATTTCATATCTATCGAGTAATTTATCTTAAGTTCGTGAATGATTTTAATTAAAACATTTATTGAAATAATTAATTTCAATACCCTTTTGTTATTTTTAAGACCGTTAAGTGCGCCCTGAGTATTTTGCTGTATTAAGCTTTTGTCAGTGTCAACCACGAGTTCCTACTGCTTTCTTCAAGATGTTCCATTTATACTTCGTAATACAATGCACAGATCATACATCAAATACAAACTACATCTACATTGTGTAGTACAGAGGCCTAGAGAGTGTACATTGTAGCTGTACAGTGTACATATACATTGTGTAGTACAGTGGTCTAGGGAGTGTACATTGTAGCTGTACAGTGTACATATACATTGTGTAGTATAGAGGCCTAGAGAGTGTACATTGTAGCTGTACAGTGTACATATACATTGTGTAGTACAGAGGTCTAGACAGTGTACAGTGTACATATACATTGTGTAGTACAGAGGTCTAGTACAGAGACCTAGAGAGTGTACATTGTAGCTGTACAGTGTACATATACAATGTGTATTAGAGAGGCCTAGAGAGTGTACATTGTAGCTGTACAGTGTACATATATATTGTGTAGTACAGAGGCCTAGAGAGAGTACATTGTAGCTGTACAGTGTACATATACATTGTGTAGTATAGAGGCCTAGAGAGTGTACATTGTAGCTGTACAGTGTACATATACATTGTGTAGTACAGAGGTCTAGAGAGTGTACAGTGTACATATACATTGTGTAGTACAGAGGTCTAGTACAGAGACCTAGAGAGTGTACATTGTAGCTGTACAGTGTACATATACAATGTGTATTAGAGAGGCCTAGAGAGTGTACATTGTAGCTGTACAGTGTACATATACATTGTGTAGTACAGAGGCCTGGAGAGAGTACATTGTAGCTGTACAGTGTACATATACATTGTGTATTACAGAGGCCTAGAGAGTGTACATTGTAGCTGTACAGTGTACATATACATTGTGTAGTACAGAGGCCTAGAGTGTATACGTTGTAGCTGTACAGTGTATATGTACATTGTGTAGTACAGAGGACTAGAGAGTGTACATTGTAGCTGTACAATGTACATATACATTGTGTAGTACAGAGGCCTAGAGTGTGTACATTGTAGCTGTACAGTGTACATATACATTGTGTAGTACAGAGGCCTACAGAGTGTACATTGTAGCTGTACAGTGTACATATACATTATGTGGTAGTGAGGCCTAGAGAGTGTACATTGTAACTCCACAGTGTATATGTATGTTGTGGCCTTACAAATGCACGGGTACAATTATATACATCTAAAAATACCACTAAAAGTGTAGTAGTTATTAAGTTGGTTCCATACTGCAGTTGGATTAATTCACACATATATAATTGTTAACATACTCTTAATTCTGCCGGAGGTGTAGACTTTCCAGCTCCTCTCTGGTCAAAAAGAATAATTCTGTATGCTTTCGGGTCAAAATATCGTCTGTCTCGGGAAGAGGTGCCACCACCGGGGCCTCCATGACTATGTATATATAAAACATATATATATAATCTGTATTTGCTTATTTCCAATATATCGTTCCAACATGGAAATACAAAAGGTCAAAGTACAAAGTGAAAGTAGATGTAACATCCGAGATACGTCCATTGACACACAACACTTACATGAATATAACAGGATTTCCATCGTTGTTTCCACTTTGTTCATAATAAATGTCGTGTATTTCCGATACTTTGAGTTTTCCAGAATCGAATGGTTCTATTTCTGGAAATAACCCTCTCTGTGTCGACATCGTATTATCGGTGTTGCTGCGAAATTGCCTTGTTCGATCACCAGCTGTGACACTCGGTCTCGTGAGACACTCGGTCAAAGGTTTCTGGCCGAAGCGGAGTATCGTCGAAGTCCGGCACACTTCAGATGTGGCAATATTTCGAGAAAGTCGATATCTAGATAACTTTCTAAGCAATCGGGAAGCAAGCATTTAGCCCTCGTCTATGAAAAATATACATGTGGATATAATCATGTCAAGAGGTCAACCTAACGGCAACCCAGGAACGATTGGCACAGACAAGAGACAACACTCATTCGTATGGCGGTTGCATAACAAAGGGAGACAACTGATTATTACATAACCGGACTGTTCTGCTATGAAACACATCCATGTAGTATGTTTCGTATGGTATACGTGTCATAAAAGTATTTATTTCAGTAGGCATAGTGTGACAAACTGAATTTTGAAGGGTGGGTTAAAGTATTTATATATCTATAAATAAATGAATAGAAGTGAATGACTTGGATCTCATATAGTTTGATATTTAAACAGTACTAAATGAAAAAAAATATTCAAATCCAAACAACTACACTCTCTTTAACTTTGATTAGTCTACTTGTTCAAAACTCCACTCTGACTGCTGTATACAAATAAATATAGGATAATAACGAACAAGTGCAGTGTGAGCTCGGATTGGGAATTTTTATTCTAGTGTATGATTTGACATTTAATTGTTTGTGGAGTACATCGCCCATGAGCGGCCAGGTCAGAGGTCAATAACCGGTACCTCACCGAACAATGTACGGGAAGCCCGCTGCATGCAATCCAGGACAACTGGTATAAAGTGTCTTGTCCAAGGACAACATTAAAGACCGCACACAGACACGAGTAATGGGTGTCGGACTATGTAATTCACGTGAAGTCGCGTGTAAGTGAACACTTTACCGACTGACCTATCACGGCTCCTGTCATTGATTGTTATTTCAACACTGTTACATAAAACTATATATCAAAAAAGGCTTTTATTTGGTCGGAATCGTGGTCATCTTTAAATAGAATCGAGTCCGTGCCATATTGAATAAGTAAATTATCACACGGATGTCGATGTGATTTGGAATTTATTCAACGAGTTCAATAATTCTATATATCACGAACTTTTGGTGAGTGATATAACAAAGAAATTCACGAGGTTGATAAATTTCATATTACATGGACACGATTATAAGATTCCGTTTATCATATGACACATATTTCTGGAATATAGGCGAAAATGTTTTTAGTTAATCTGCCTATAAGACGAGTTTTTTCACAACCGAGACATTCATTTTACGTTCTACAGACGTGACGTATCTATGACGTCACATTAGTGATTACACATTTGTCTTTCCTAAGAGTTCCTCTCTTCAATATATCAAATTTAATTCATAATTTCAATCTGAGAATAATTGATACTTTATGAATTGTCTGAATTCAGTGAATAAATACCTCTTTATCATTTTGGTTGTAAGCTGATGGGATACATGGGACCTATCAAAATATCATGACGATAACGAAACGACACGTGCTAAAGATCTTATGACGTCACAAAAGAGAAATCCGAGTACGTATGGTCATTAAGCATCATGAAGAATAAATTACCATCATCCTCGGAATTCTAGGGGTTACGTCCAGTTACATTGTATAAGCTCAACAGTCTGTACAGTTTAGAGGATCTCGAGATCATGGCGGTAATGCGATTTTGAATTTGTTCCATACAATGTACATACATTTTTATATATGATATTTGATCCACTCAATTATCTTATTCGCATTCCTCATCCCGATAATTCACAACAACAGTTGTTCCTGTCTATGTTTTCCTGTTTATTACATCAATATTATTACAGTGATATTATTTTAATATTTGTTATTGTTAGGATTTTTATTTATCTATTTATTTATTTATTTATTCATTTTTTTATTTGCCTCCCTTTCTTCTGCAGTCAACGAAACATATAATTAGTTCACATATCATACTATATAATTTGTATTCAGTATAACAGATATACTGTACAAAACCATTCTGAATTATATTTGTTATTGTTAGGATTGAGTGGAATATTGACTTAACTTAGTTGGCCTTTGTGTACTCAGTATTGTTCAAATATCATACACAGGCAACGCGACACGCGGTGTTCATACCCATGACATTTCACACAGGTTGTGAAGGTAAACACTTATTGTAAAACAGTTGATATTCACTTCCGGGTCAAGCCGACTTCCAACACCGATGTAAGTATATTTTTTCTGAGTTAACTTCCTCACTGTTGCACGTTGATAACAAAAACACTTCGTCGTTTGCATATATCTGACATTAATTATAGTTTAATTTCTTGTATTCTACAATGTTCGATATCTGAAGTATAAAGATTCACGTGTTTTCACTTCTGAGTCAGAAATTAATCTGGGGAAAGAGACCATGTTCAAGTATAAATTATCTTGTCTCGCAATCCATGAGTTAACGTACATTATACGAAATGATATGAAATGGGCATATGTCCAACTGTATTAAACTGATTAAACATAATTTCATGAAGTGTTTTTCTCCTAATACAGTATTATAACTATTCTACGTAAATGTAATTTTCACAATTATATGAAACAAAAGTCAGACGCATACATTATGATCAAAGTCTCATCTTCAATATTTATATATCCTATCCAATCAAATATCTGTGTATAAAAGAGGTCACTCTATTTATGGTTATGTCAGACTGTAGAATAATATTGAGCTAAACCTTTACAATATTATAAGTGCTTGTATGTGCCATATACGATGTAGTCACACACGTACACATATCAATTGTCGGTATGTACATAATTGTACTTGAAACCATATAGGCCTTAAAGAAATAACGTGGAGAATTAACCCGAATCTCTCGTCTTTTATTAATCACACACACTTCCATTTAAATGTATTAGTGAATTAGAAGTAATATCACGCCAGTGGAGAGGCCTAATCCGAAGCTTGTATACATGTACATAAATAATGGCACTTTAAATACGGCACACAACCACAGTAATTATAGTTCAATGTCTTTTTCAGAAATGAACCCACCGTAATTAATTTTAGTATAATTATTTGAGGTCTTCAAAATTACTCATATGAAGTACTTACACTGTATATAAATAGATATGATTAAATATATTGCAGACTACATGCAGAACTACGGAGGGCCAGGCGGATATCCCCCGCCAGGTGGACCCGGGGGTTACCCTCCACCAGCCGGACAAGGCTACCCTCCAGGTGGGCAGGGCTACCCTCCTGCAGGTGGCGGTGGATATCCACCGCCGGCTGGTCCAGGTTTTCCACCGGCAGGGGGCGCTGGTTATGCAGCAGGTTATAATGCGCCACCTGGCGCTTATGGACAACCTGGCTATCCCCAAACGGTACGTCATGCATCTTTTGGAGCAAGGTAGAATATGTAAAGCGTTAACTAATAAAATGAAGTACGGAATGATAGTAATGCATTTAGACTGGAAAAGTCTCCCCGCGTGTTTATTGTGAATCGGAATCCTTATCATCCTGATTGTAATATACATTGTACCTTAATGTTTAAACATAGTAGAGGTTATAAAGATGTTACGCAACAAGTGAAGTTGTGTGTGGTTTTTCAGTCACTCTCGTTAGTTAATAGTAAAAAGACAGTTTTACAAAATCAATCTTTAACTATTTATTGCTCGTTTAAATTTCCGCGATCGTATAAAGCGGCCTTCCGGGTCAATGTTCACCATCGCAGCCAATCAAAATACATTTACAGTTTATCCCACGTGTTGTATACATTCACAATTGTCCATATCAAGGATGCCTCAGGACTTAAATAGCATCCGACAATCAAGGTAGGAAGTGTCGACTGTTACATAGCTAGGAACAGATAATGTGTTTACATTGTTACTGAAAACATTAACAAAATCTATAGATGTCTACTTTCGAGGTTTGACATTTCTCCCTTTTCTCTAGGATGAAATAAAGACAACCCATGACACTTTGAAAAATAAAATTCTATAGGGAAATCTTTAGTTCGTTATGAAATAGGCAATACCTAAGAGCAAGGATCAATACTATTTTGTAATGTGATAAAAAGTACCTTAAATTTGTTTTCACTTTAAATGAGATTTCGTGCAATTTGTCTTGAAGTTTTGATTTTTACTCGCCAAGATTCGTAAAGATTGTCTTATTTAGTCTCATATGAAATGTAATCTCATTTAGATCCCATATACATAACTATACATGTATATTCAAAACTTTCCATTCAGGGTATACCGCCAAACCAAGGATATCCTGGTATGCAGCCAGGAGGGATGCCACCAGGGGGTATGCCACCAGGGGGTATGCATCCCGGAGGAATGCCACCGGGCGGCATGCCATATCAGGGCGGTATGCCATATCAGGGGATGCCACAGGGAATGCCACAAGGAATGCCACAAGGAATGCCACAACAAATGGGAGCCACGTATGGAGGTCCGCCGATACAGAATCCGGTACGTGCCACACTGTCCGTAATTACAATGTTTAAACAGTCACCAGAAATGACACCTCCAAATTCATATAAACAGTGGCGCAATTCATACACTTCCTTTTTATATAATCTCACATCAAAAACTATCGGAAGCATTGATAAACAAGTTATATAGACTAAACAGCATCATACAATTGCTTCGTCCTTCTCCGATACGTCAGTGATGCTATGGATCTAAATGATACATTTAACTGTGCCATACAGCTGTTTTATCCTTCTCGGTCTCGTCAGTGATGCTAGGGGTCTAAATGATACATTTAACTGTGCCATACAACTGTTTCTTTATCCTTCTCGGACGCGTCAGTGATGCTAGGGGTCTAAATGATACATTTAACTGTGCCATACAACTGTTTCTTTATCCTTCTCGGACGCGTCAGTGATGCTAGGGGTCTAAATGATACATTTAACTGTGCCATACAGCTGTTTTATCCTTCTCGGTCTCGTCAGTGATACTTAAGGTTTGGATAATGAATTTGACCTTTTCATACAACTGTTTCTTTATCCTTCTCGGACGCGTCAGTGATGCTAGGGGTCTAAATGATAATTTAACTGTGCCATACAGCTGTTTTATCCTTCTCGGTCTCGTCAGTGATGCTAGGGGTCTAAATGATACATTTAACTGTGCCATACAACTGTTTCTTTATCCTTCTCGGACGCGTCAGTGATGCTAGGGGTCTAAATGATACATTTAACTGTGCCATACAACTGTTTCTTTGTCCTTCTCGGTCTCGTCAGTGATGATAGAAGTCGAAATGATGAACTACACTTCATCATACATCCAGTTGCGGCGTCTTTGTTAGACTCATCTGTGAAAGTGCAAGTTGAAATCTAGAAATCGACTTAGGAAAGTGGAATTGACGAATCAAATAAAAGTTAACATATAGGAGGAGTTGGGTAGTAATGCTATACTGTGATTGTGTCATTTACCATACTGGAAGTTTTCAAAAGATTTTAAATGACTAAACAAAAAAATGGGTAAACAAAAAAATTATGTTTGAGTATTCTGAACCGTACCACAATTCATATGAATTCAAAATATGCTATGTCGTAAGAAAGTAACATTTAGGGGAAATAGCTCAATCCAGCGTGGACCTCCATCCTCGTCGTTCTCATCTTTCTTCTAACTTTATAATTTATGTTCATCAACTCACATGCTTTTGTCTTATATAAAATAGTTGGTTATGTGCGATTTTTGTTGTTTCTCAGCCCACACCGTTCATGAGTCAAGTGCAGGGAGGTCTTGCTATCGGGAGAAGCATTGTCGTCAGTGGAATGGCGATACCTGGCAGCAATGGGTAATGTGTCCTTTGGTGTTATTTTATTCTAAGGCATGATTATCCTGCAACATGTTGTTATAATCAAGATTTTTTTTTTTTCGATTTCGGATGAATGAATCAAACCATCAAGAAAATCTATCACAAAAAATAACCATAAAAATAATATAATAACCAACCAAACACTAATGAAAACAAATATTAACCCCCTAAAAATATTCCTTCTCGTAAACTTACTAAAATTATTAATCGATTTCGATGAAACCACAAAACAATGACAGAGACCACATGTGGGCTTGTTTTGAATTTCCCCAACGTATTCAGTCTGGAAGATGTGTAGGTGTGTATGCAGGTATTCTTAACAGATTGTAGTTGCCGTGGTAACCAGGTCACTATATATTTTGAGGTCATCTGATGGAAGGGTCAAGGTGACCTATTGCTATAATGCATCGTCCGTCGTCGTGCGCGTCTGCTGTCCGTAAACTTGTCATTTAAAACGCTACTCCTACTGAACGCCTGGGCGGATATCAACCCAATTTTGTCGAAAACATCATTTTGGATGGGGCATTATTTCCTATTTTAGAAAGTTGATTCAACCCTTAATGACCTGGGGATGGGGCCCCAAAAGGGTAATTCGACAATACTTTGCTCCAAAATGCTACTCTTCCCTAATGCTCAAATGGATTTCATTCAAATTTTATCCGAAACATCAGCAGAGGCAAGTTATTAATTCTTAAAATTCGGAATGTCGATTTGATCACTAGGAACTTAGAGGCGGGTCCACGAATAGGAAATTTAGTCAATATTTCGGTGCAGAATGCTACTTTTCCTGAATGCATGAATGGATTTCACCCAAATGTTGTTTGAAACATCACTGAGGACGGAGAAGCATTTCTTACATTCAGAAAGTTGATTCGACCCCTGAGGACCTAGGACGGGACTCCAACTGGGGACGAAAGACAGGGTTTTGCTTTAAAATGTTATTTCTTCTTCATTCCTGGATCGATTTCAACCATATTTGATCTTATTTCTTAAATTCAGAAAATTGTTAAGACCCCTAAGGACCTGTCAGGCCAACATCTGCAAATTCTGAGGTTTGTCCATCAATTCATCGATTGTCAGATGACCGTTAAGGGCCATGGTCTTCTTGTATTCGTAATGATACATATGTATCAGTCCTGAGATTTTGTCACTGAACCCCAGAAAATCATGAAAAATACTATACCTTGAAAATAACGATTTTTCAGTATTGTATGGAAAAAATCTACATAATTTTATTGCATATTTATCTCCTCCAGCCGATTTTCCATTAATTTCCAAGAAGACCCATCGGGAGAAAACATCGCCCTTCATTTTGACGCGCGTATCCAGGCTGGAGCCGACCACGATGTTACTGTCCTAAATACAAAGACATCCGGAAGCTGGGGACCGGAAGACAGAGGCGCTTCCTACTTCCCGTTTGGGATAAATCAACAGTTCGAAGTCCGCTTTATCGTGGATCAAGATAGATTCAGAGTAAGTTTTTCCAACAATAACCTGACCATAACAATTACTTATTTGTTACTGTAACTTTTTTTGAAGGGAGGAAGTGTTGTAATTGTTATTACTTTTATATATTTCTCTGGTTTATAATTTCTATTGAATCGGTTATTGGCGGTCCAGTTCATTTCTGGAAAAATGCCAAGTTTAACTCTCGAAGTGACATCTCATACAGAAGAATTCCGTATCCTGGTTACGGTATCCAGGCATGTTTTGCTTGGTGACAAGTTATATATCATTATATTATATATATGTATCATATTCACAATGAATATATCACTTCAACAAGTGAGTGTTCGAGTGAAGCGAACCGGTATGAAAAACCTAGAAACAATTGTAGAATTTGTCGCTGTTGACAAGAAATCATCAGAATACGATATCAAGCGCTTATTTCATATCATAAATATTATAAACCTCGCGTCAGTGACCTGACTTGAAAGACGAAAGCACCGACAGTAAAGCGCTGTATGTGGTGTCACGATTGATTTTAATAAGCACCATGCGTCACTATAACACAGATAATACTGTCACACTAATCACGAGTTTACGTAATTTTAAAGATCGGATATTGTATTTAAACGACGAATGGTTGATTTTGTTTCTTTCTCTCTCTTTTTAAAAATTTTTTTTTTTACAATTTTATCGAAAACTATCGTTTGAATGAAGAATGTTTTTTAATCTCTGCGATTGACAAAAAGTAAACGTACATATGAAATGAAAGTAGATAATTTGTGCAGATATTTAGCATCTTTTTGTGTGCAACCGGTTTTACCATAGGTCTAGCTTTAAGCACATTGGTGACTCTGGATGTGTACATAAAATTAGACAGAATACAGGGGGTAGTTCATCACAATTAATTAAATTAGGTTACTGTCCATGGTTATTTTTTCCAATATCTTAGATTTTCGCGGGTTTTTCAAAGGTTTGTAACAAGAAAGATATCGCTGTATCATGGATAACACGAAAAGGACTATAGTTCTGTATATACGTTTTATTTGCCAAAGTATTGTAAAACCGCAGTTAAAAAAAGGAAAAGAAAAAAATGGACACTTTATTTCGTTGAAGAATATAGCTCAATAAATCTATTAAATGGCTTTTGTACACATGAGTTGTTGGTGGATTAGGGGTAGCCACGAATTCCACCAAAATTTACAGTATAATATTTTTATTGATTGTCTTCCATAATAAAACACAGCGAACATCACGAAAATAACAACATTGATAGTATTACAACATTGATAGTATTATAACAACATTGATAGTATTACAACATTGATAGATTACAACATAGATAGTATTATAACAACATTGATAGTATTATAACAACATTGATAGTATTATAACATTGATAGTATTAAAAATTGCATTCTTATCCGTTATTTTTATTTATTTTGTAGATTTTCTCCAACAACAAACCATTTTGCGACTATCCGCACAGACTACATCCACCACAGAAGTTTGCTTGTATCAACATCACCGGGGACATTCAGATCCATCATATCCGATTCGAGTAGAAAAACGACAAAGAAGCAGCGATAAATGATTTTTTATGTCATTTAATTACATTTCAACTTTAGCTTATTTAAAAACATTACAATTATATCAATGTCTTTGAGATTTTCCCTCACCAGTTTGTTTGGTTTTGTCAACGCAGAATGTTTAAGCATGAATATTTCATAAATTAATACAGTCGAGCCTCGTTATCTTGAATCAGCGAGTTCAACTGTTTTGTGAAAAGTTAGACAGGGGCCGACTAAAAGCTTCGAATTAAACGAGGTCTTCGGGTTATACGAGTTCGAGATACCGAGGATTTATACTACATAAAACAACAGATTAAGATTATGTTCTTTATGTCAAAATATTATGAACCTTGATTTTTTTAAATAACCTATTTGTTAATTTACATTATAGACATATGAAGACACTGATTACAGAGTAGGTTAAATACAACTAGTACAAAAGATAGATATTTGTGTACATTTGTAAATCAGTATGTAGTTATAGCAGTTGTATCCCCACACTGAGATTCTCTTCCACGTCGAGTTGTTATATCTTTAAAATTGTCAAACAGAACACATCTAAATCATCTCCTTCGTAAAACTTTCTAAGAATGTTTTCACCAAACTGAAAAAGGAACAATTAATTTGGGAAAATTTTTTGCGGATATTTTAAATCGCAAATTTATATCCATCCAAAACCATGGCCTAGCAAAGCACGCAAGAAAAGACCGTTGATTTTACCAGAAGTTATTTTGAATTGAAGCCATTAAAATACAACGTTCTACGTTTTTCATTTAGAAAACGGATCGTGATTGAAGGGAGGTAACGCTTGAATTTACTCTTCTTTCTTCATACAACATACAATAAAATTATCTAAAATGCATTGAGCAGTATCGTTGAGAATCCTTAATGAAATTTTGAATGAAGAGAGCTTTTGTAAAACCATATATCACATAAGAAACAATTGAAGAATTTATCATGTAAATCATGTTTTATGTTCCCAGAAAAATCAATCTGTCCTTTCGTGTCCGGACTAAATCTTTGCCCACAATTAAGCAAGGATTATGAAACTTGGTGTATGTATTTTTCTTCTTCTCGATATTTAAATCCAAACAGCAAAAATAATTATATATCAAACATATATAAATATATATATCTAATCTCAGGTTGATAGATATCGGTATGTTTGTCACGTCTTACTGACAAAAAATTGAAGCTGAAGACCCGTTACAACAATATAAAAGATGAAGGAACCCGGATGTAGCCGAAATACCTGCGTAATGTGTTTAAATACATAAATTGAGAACAGACACTTTCTGTATCAATCAAACGTTTCCTGTCATTGTGATAAACACGTATTATTGTGATATAAAAACGAATTAATATAGAAACATAAATAGATAATATATATGTACAACATCATCATTTCCACTGGCGATTTCTCAGGGACCAGAAAACCTTTAATTCACTTGTCTAGGAACGTTTTCATTTTCCCTGTAATTGCCCTTTTCCTCCATTTCATCTCATGTTTTATTCTGTTCATCCACTGCTTCATCGTTCGTCACTTCTGATTTTTCTGCATCGTTCAAAGTCGAAGCTGATTCTACTTTAGGAGATCTGATGACGCCCAACTTCCACAAGCCAACAACCAGGACTATTATTGGAATAATTAACAGAGAAATGAGGGGCAGTAGATTCTGAGAACTGTTTGTTCTGGTGTCTGTGGTCAGGGAGGCACATCCTTATTATAAAAACAAAAAAGAAAACAGCGTAATGTCGGCAGAAGATTGATTATCTTAATAAACTTCATCACAAATAAGACGTAAAACAAGCTTCCATTTCCTAGAATATTTCTGAAAAGTGTCATTTTTTTTCTCTCTTTTTTATTTTGAATAAAACTTTATTTTAATATGCCAGAAAATATGTGCACTTATTTTGAGTTACGGTTTAAGTCTGCAGCGGAAAGAAGAATTTTCCGGGGAGAACACGAAACAGACTACAAGATTCGTCTACCTCTTGAGAAAATTACAAAATATGATATAATATCAAAGCTTCTATTCGGTGTCCATTTTTTTCTATAGCTGTATATGATACCAACCTGATCGACTGAACGCCATTACAAACCCATTCTTTTCGTCACTGTCGTCTGACGTCATCGTGACGATAGCTGACGTATTACTCGTGGTGTAGTTATGAGCAGAATTCCAGTCATTGTTTTCACAGATGTTCAAGGTTGGATTATCGTCTGTAAACAAACGCACATCGATAAATTCAAACCGTATTTGATTGACAATGTGATTGGACACAAGTTCTTGCAACTTTCTAAGCCCTCTCCCAACATTGTAAAATGCACAATAATTACAGATAGCACGAGATGATACAATTTCAAGCGTCTAGTAGCATTCAATTTCAATTATAAACATTCAACGTGATTTGTTTTAGAGAAGGAAAGAAGGCGAGGAAAGAGGGAACAGATAAGAAGGAGTTCTTGTTACCTAGGTTACCCATTAACTAGTTTCGAACCTTTTTGTTGAGTTACGCTGGAAAGCACAGTCAGTATAAGATCAGCATTAGTTTGGAATGGAAGTTCGGGATCACTCCACCAAAGTCTATTGACAAGGGGAACTGACTGGATGCCAATATCAGACGGAGAATTAAATAAAGATATTCTTGAATTCGAAAATTGCGAACAAACGAAATAATAATGATACATATCTTTGTTACCGTAACCCCAATGGCAAACAGGTGATGAACATTTATATAGGAAGTAAATCATTTTAAGACCACTGATCTTGTGTCTGATTCGTGTTAGAAGAATCACGAGGTATCGGTAACCAGCAGGTAAATATTTAGGTAAAACATATGATATAGGCGATAATCTCATTAGGAATTCTGATAAAGAAGTAATATTTTTACATAATTACATCAAGTTTACTGCACATGGTAATTGTAGAAGGGATTAATTATTTTTAAATACACGTATATCCAATCTCCAACTTGACAGTAGGTAGTAATCTGGATTATGGAAGTCACGAGAAAGATTAAGATAATCTGGTATTTATCCATTATGAATCTTATAAAAAGTAGTGTTTGAACTTCTCGCGCCTAGATCTTAAAGGGAAGCAAGCCAGTCTCGAAGTAGAGTGCCACACAAGAGATGAGATACCAGTTACAAGTCTTGCGCGTGCTAATTGGACTGTTTCCAGGACGTTTATCAGAATATTAAAGAGTCAGTCTAATATTAGACGAGTACATAGTATTAAGAATATTTTTGCTAACATTATATTTCAATTGTTTCAAAGCGGCTACTTTACACATCGATGTCATATACGTGCGATATATGTATATTGAATTATACTAAACAGCCTATGAAGCTAACAGTAAGAAATTATGCATTTGTGATTTTGCTGATATCACAACGACTTGTAAAATCAGTGTGCGCCATGTTCTTTTTATTGTACTGCAGTCTAAACAAAATCTATTGTATAACAATATTGACGAATATTTATTTGACATTTCTATAACATAACGTTACCTAAGAGAAACAAATTACGAATACTAATATATAGGTGGCACTACATGCTCACATAATTAATATCTAATCATAGGCATACAAGGTAAAAGATGACAGATAATGATATAGCCACTGTTCCTCATTACGTCCGCATGTTAAATATAAAAACGGATTTCCGTGTATTCAGTAGAGTGATGCATATGAAAGTGAATAGAAAGAAAAAAACATGTGCTCATTACCAATACGAAATCGTTTTATATGTAATTAACGCCCAATTTGTGTCAAACCACACGAAAATGCACTTTATGCGGTGCATAATACATTCAGAAAGCAGGTGTTATTAGATTGTTTGTGGTTAAACAACCGTTCATGAAGAGCAGATATTCAATGATTATTAGTCCGCGATATGGATTATCAACAACTTTCACTTCGGAAATTCCAATTCTATTAAAATTTATGCAAATAAAATTTATTTAGAGAAAGAAAGACATCTATGAATAACTTTATTCATAGTAAATAGGTAAAGTTATATTGGAAACAACCAATACGACGACGTAACGACATATAATCAAGGGAGATAACTCCGGTTATATTAGCCGGTTGACTCGGCATTCCGGACAACTTAAAAACCGAGCGTTTTAGGCCGGGAACGAAGGTGTCTAAATTATCGAGAGTCCTTTGTACATTGTAAAATGTTCGAAAAAAAAGAAGCTATTTCTAAATGGCTGTTGTTTACAAGTACATTATTTCTTCGCGAGGTGTTCGTTATACGTGAGATTGAGATTTTTTTGTATAGTACAGCATGTTTACCGTATGTCAGGGTAATGAAATCATAGCTACAACCCTCGACATTTATGTATTTAAAGTCCAGCACCAGTGTCCCACAATCGTTCTGGGCAGTTATCGTCCAGGTACAGCTGGTGGACCTACAATTAAACAGACACCTTTATCAAGCGTAAATCATTCAAATACAATGATATGTAGGTATGCCAGGGGGCCGACTCAGCAGCCGGTCTTACAACAGTGATACTGTAATTACAATTATCACCAGAATTCATGAGAAAGTTGTCGTTCCTGACAGGCTCAATATATGTTATATAGCTAGGATGCCTTCATACTGCAACCCAATCATGGTACATTGTAATCGGCAAGACATTTTGTGACTTTTGGGAGAGAGAGTTGAGCGAACTCAGGTGCTCTAAATGAAGAAGGGTCATGTAGCAAGAAAAATATCAAAATAGATTAAGATTGCAGATAAAACATACTTACCCTGGATACGTCTGTGGAAAGTTTGAAGTCGTTATGTATTGTCTGGAATCTGTTGCAATCAGAGACGCCACCGTGCATCCTACGTGTTACAATCCCTTATATCAGATGATTGTTAAAAGAATACAATATTTGAACATCAAAATCATGTCCGTTTTTAGTATTGATTGTCTTCAACGTCTTCTAAATGAAACACATCGTCCGATAATGCATATTTCATCGTAAAAATTGTTTT